ACTATCTTTAAACAAAGATACAAGTATTTTTTCAATAAACCACTTTTGGCTCAACCTTAAATATTCTTTAAGATGCTTCTTCAAGCAACTACCCAAGTATTCTGTTAACAACAAGTCTCTCTAGGCTTAACAATAAAGTATTCTTTTTTAATCAAGTTTCTCCTAGCTCAAAACAAGTATTCTTTTTTCAAACAAGTCTTTCCAGACTTAACAACCAATTATTCTTTTATAGTCAAACCTCTCCATGATCAAAATTATTTTTTTCAAACAAGTCTCTCCAAGCTCAACCTTATAACAATGATTATGAAGATTACACAAGTGTTGTGTTCATCTCACTTAGATGTTATACAACCAATATATAGCAATGAGTGTCTAAAAGAAAGAATAAATTTACAGATAATATGTTTTTGTATAAGTGTATCCATATGTATGCTCCCTTTTGTATTATATGTATATGTTCTTTCTTGAGTTTTGAATCTTCTTATATAGTAGTTTAGAGAAAATGATCGTTACAACACTTTGAATCCAATTTAGAAGTTTGATTCGTCTGTTTGCATCATCTTTTGTGGTGATGGCAAGTAATTGTTTGGCTAATGTAATGCAAGCATTAAATGTAATTCACCAAATAAATCCTCTTATCTAATCAAGGAGGCTACTTATCAGCTTTTTCATACCAAACGAAGCTTGCAAAAGTAATGTCAACACAATGTAGGAACAATAGTGACTTTGTCTACTTTTCTCTATGATTTTAGGGATCTTTGTCTTTAGTTATGATGAAAAGTATTATATTATTTTTTTTAACAAATCTGTGAGTTTTAAGATAATCTTCTAGTCTGATCTATTAATTAAGAGCATGTTTGTATTCTCGTTTAGTTCCGTTCAATGACAAAGCTACAAGAGAGTAAAATTATGTTTAACGTGGCTTTGGAATTCGAGAATAGAGTAAATCAAACACACCGCAAGAAATGAAACATTCAAGAAGTTTTTGTCGTTAGTTTCAATAAATAATAAGCATTTAATATATGAGATATGCTATATTTTTCATTTGATTTACATCATCTTAAAGACAATTCGTGTCTTACACTTCGTCTAATAAGTGTTTTCAAATATATTTTTCGAAGACGTTTTTAAGACATTTTCTCTTTTAAAAATGTTTTATTTGTTTGTATTAAAACTTTAACTTCAAAGGATCCAATATCATCTTTTAACTTAGCACAGGTGCTGAATTTAATGAGAGAATTTGATATGAATGTTGAGAATATGCCTAAATATCTTTATAAGAGTAAATTAGTTAATTTGATAGGAATCTTTTAATTATGTTTTCAATATTTAGATTTAATTTATTTTGATTATTTTAATATTTTTTCCTTATTTTAAAATAGGATAATATCAATATTTAATTCTTATATTACATTTTTTCTTTATATGTAGAGAGCTTATGAATAAAAGTAGATCATATTTCTCTGATAAAATATATCTTTACGAAATATAATACAAAATATCTCATCACAAAGTCCCTCCTTAAATTCGTCTCTAGTTACAACTATGCATATAAATCATCAAATCATCAACCATCAAATTCATCCAAACATCAAGGTCATTCATCAAAAATCTTAATATCAAGAAATTCTATAACATCATACATTATTCATCAAATCTATCATTCTCTCAACTCAAACAAATCAAACACCACATGAGCAAAAACCTCATAGTATTTAAATCTATCTAAAAGACATCCTATTAAAATTAAACAAAAACTAATAGGGTTGAGATCCCTACTACCCACAATTTGAATCACGCTATTGAGTAAGATAATCTTATTTCTCCCTTACCTATAAAAATTTTTCTTTTGAGGTTAAGGTGCAACTATATCGCTCCTCAAACTCCTTGCTTCTCCAACAACATTTCTACGACATATTAATCCCTACTAGTTAAAATCTCCTTGTAATCTCTCTAATTGTAAGAATTATGAGATAGTGAGAAATATTTACGGGTAGAGATTATACTAGTGCAAAAGAGGCTTTTTACGTCTGTATTTTCACGTCGGACCACAACATATCCGACGTAAAAATGACGCGGTGGCATTTTTAAAAATAACGCAAACTTTTTTACGTCGGACAACAAAGGGACCGACGTAAATTCAACAATCTATGTCGGACCTCAGCTACAACCGACGTAGATTTTTGAATTTACGTCGGACACTTTTTCCTCCGACGTAAATTCAAGTTGAATTTTTTAATTTTTTGCGTAGCGCCTCTTTCTTTCCCATTCTTCACCAGATTTCCTTCCCGCTCTCCATGCTTCGCAGCCAACACGTAACGCCTCTCCATTCTTCGCGTTCTTCACCAGATTTCCTTCCCGTTCTCCATGCTTCGCACACCATTGGTTGGGAGCATTCTAATTTCGTTCTTGTTGTTCGCTCCTTTCCTACGTTTGAAGGTTCCTTTCTTATCTTCTTCCCTCCTTTCTTTATTCTATTCGAAGGTATCATAATGTTTATCTTTGGCTGCAGACAGGAGCAGAATATGACAAGGAGTGCAAAATTTGTACAAGGCTTTTTGAATCCTGAATATGGACTTCCCTCAGCAAGGAGAACGGTCTGTTCTGCAAGGAGAACAGCCCGTTCTCCTTGCAGAACGGGCCGTTCCAACGTAATTTTTTTTTGGGTTTTTGTAACTTTTTTACGTCGGTGTTCGCCAATCTCTGACGTAAATTTACGTCGGTCTAAAATGCTGACGTAAATTTACGTCTCCCGCTTTTACGTCGGAGGTTTTTCTGACGTAAAAACCTTAAAATAGCTGACGTAAAAAACCTCATTTGCACTAGTTTAAAACATATATATGAATGATGACATGAAATAAAAATCTAATGTAATTGTCTAAGTATATGATAATATAAAGAATATTTTTGTGATTTTTCATGGATTGTAAACAAATTTTCAACCATAGGAACTAAATTACAAATCTATATAAAAAAAAAAAAAAACATGAAGAATCTAATTATAATTTAATTTAGTTTAAGGACTTGATTCAACAAAATAGTGACTTAATTGAAAATTCTCAAAACAAAATTCAACAAACGAATGATATAATAAACTTTTTCTTTCAATTAACAAAATAGCGATAAAAGAACCTTCTGTTGACAAAAAAAAAGTTGTGCCACAAGAAAATTAGTGTATAAGAGTATGGATTTAGCTCGCCTAAGGAATCCTTGAGTTTTCCTTTTCCAACTAGTGTTGCACAAGCTGTATGATCAATATTGATAGGAAACTAAACACTACTTTATCATTGTTCCTACTAAAAATATTTTAAAACTATCATAAAGGAGACTATTTGGAAACAAAATTAAAAAAAAAAAAAAAAAAAAGGCATGGCAATGATTTATGTTTTTATTGGTCTAAAAACCGATTGTTCTAAAATAACTACATTTATCTTGAAACCATATTAACTCTCATGAGTTATATATATTTCTTGTAGGTGTTGATTGAGCGACTTTAGCCTCCAAGGTTACAACTTCATCATTTAAGTTCCCCCATCTTCCATCATATTAATTTACAATCAAATACCTTTAGAAGCATTTTGTTTAATATATTTAACAAATTACTGATGCGGCACAAGTGGCTCACATGACACCAAATTCTAACGTGCTGGTATAATGAATGTTTTGCATTACAACAAAATAAATTTTTAGTGACATTTAATATAGTTTTTAGTAATAATAAAAATTGCTACAAAATTTTTTAACGAAATTTTCACAATAGTCATTGTATGCAGTGTCGCTAAAATATTTAGCGATAATTATTTTAAATGCTGATAAAAATCCTTATAATGGTCAGAAAAAGTGTATAACTTTTTGTGACATTTTTTACTTTCTACTCAATGTGAGACTTGTAAGATGAGGATTGTCTTTTACTTATATATTTTTTTAATTGTTTTATCTCCTAATTAACTAATTAATTATTTTATCAATAGTCGATGTGGGATTTGGATTTTTTCCAATACACCCCCTCAAGTTTAGGGACTATTGAGTTTGACAATGGTGAGTAATTTGATACCAATTTAGAATAGTAAGTTATAGGTTTAACTTAACCCTACAAAAAAAATTTATAAGGTGAGAATTATCATTCATTTATATACTTTTTAATTATCTTATTTATGATCGATATGGAACTTAAGTTTTTCTAAATAAATAATTGTCGTTAATTGTAAATTTTAGTATGATATAAATAAATTTTTAGTGACCATTATATATTAGTCATTAATATTTTTATTAAATAATAAAATAAAAATAATTAATTTATTTTCACTAAATAATTGTCGGTAATAATCAATTTTGTTATAGTGATAATACATATATGCATTGACTTAGTATTTTTAGTGTTGTTTATGGAGTTCAACTTATATTCAAAACAAAAATAGTTGAGTGGGTGAGATTGATATCATACTTTTTTTTATATAGATTTAAATTATTATATAAAATTTTTATAATTATTTATTAATTTAAATTAATGAAATAAAATATTAAATAATTTTTAAATATTTGTAATCTTGATACATATATATATACATATATATTAAGAGTTTTTAATTTAACAATAAAATTATTGAAATTCAACATATACTATAAGTTATTAATTTTACTAAAATTTACTTTTAAATAATTTGATCTTTATATATATATATATATATATGCGCATAAAGATACTCTTTGAGAACAAAATGTGACACTAAGTATTTAATTGGATGACATTAATGTTTAACAGTAAAAGTTGATAAAAACTAAACTCGTAATGTTATAGGATGCACTAGCAGGAAAAAGATTATATCCTAATTTGCAAGTAAAAAGCTAAGTGGCTATGATTCCAAGGGATCAAGTTCCAATAGTAACTTTGTGTCATTTAAATTCAAACTTTTGTACTTCAGGTATGCTTTGGGAGGTTTGAAATTACGTAGAAATAGAAGGGGGAAAATAATAAATTGATGGGAAGTTCCAAGTTCCTGTAACAGAGATATATAGTTAGATATACTTGGTAATAATATACATATCTAGTTACAAAATAAAATTAAAGGGCACGCAATTAATTTCTTTCATCCCTAGCCCTAGGAAATGCCTGAGAATACAAAGACATGATGAATAAAGAGAATTAAAAGAAGCCTAAACTAAAAAGAAAAAAAGAAAAAAAGAAAAAAAAAAGTTTTCCTGAAATTCTTTTCCTCACAATTCCTGATAGTTGAAGATAATCTTTCTGTCTACGGATTCAAGAAGCCCGATTTCATCCACTGAGCGATCCTCAACCTCGTTTTCATCATCAATGGAAATATTCAAATCCAAAGAAACACAAGGGCTTGTCTCCTCCAAAGTAGCAACATTGTCTTCGGTCAACGATTTTTGTTTGACCGAAGGAGAACAAGCCCTTGACCTTGAACTGAAGCTTTCGCAGCTCAGAATGATGATTGCGTCACAAAGCGAAACCTCTTCACGGTTTGAATCCACAACTCTTCCTCTCTCAATGGCCCTTTTGAAACCAATTTGAGAACAATAATCCGCTTGCTCTATATCTTCAACGAGAAAAACCCTATGAGGGTTACAAGAGATAGCTTCAGCGAACCTCTCAATGTAACTGCAACTTGTTTCTTCTCTTGATCTTTTGTTCCTGCTACAATCCTCAGTTGAATCCGCTCTTGTTGACGCGAAACTGCTAAGTGCAACGGAAACGACGTCGTTGTGGGACCCGAAAACAAGCCGAGCCAGTTCTCGTGCTATTTTCTCTTTGGCTTCCACGTCAACACCTTGGAAAAACAACCACGTTTCTTCTTTCACTTCACTGTTTCGCACTTTCCCTTTTCTTCTCACTATACCAGAACGGCATTGCAAAACGGTGGTTGCGATTTCTGGTATTATATCTTTCTGCCACGGCACTTTTTTCTCCAAAGCGTTGCACAGTGTTTTCAGGTTCTCTGAGCTTAGCTCTTTGAACTTGCACACGTGCTCCACTTCCATGACGTCACTGGAAGAAGCGGAATTAGGGTTGGAACTTGGGTTGGGTGATGATGAGAATGGTTGCTTAGTGGTTTCATTGTTTTCTGGAATGTACACTCTCAAAGTGGGTTCGTTGGGGTTGCAACCATTGCTAGTGTTCCAGAAATGGTGGTTGCTCAATGAGTCTTTGGGTTCTGCCACGTGCCACTCTTGATGGGTTTGGTGCACATTAGGGTGTTGATGTTCGTATGAGAAGCCTGAGGTTGATGAAGAGGGTGAAACCGAAGATAATGTGAGGGTTTTTTCCGAAGGATAAGGTTGCTTTTGGATTGAACAACACATTGGATTCCACTTTTTGCAAAGCTCTCCCACTGGAACACAGTTCTGTTGGAAAAAATAAAAAGTTAATTTTCATCGAATACGATTGTACTGTAACGACTATTACACATTACATACAAATACAAGAGTAAAATAACATGATTTGATGACATGTCGTTTTCTATTCGAAAACAGAAAATAAAATCAAATAATTTTTTTAAGAGAATTTTTGTGATTCCCAAAGAGAGAAAAAAGAATTTTGGTATAATTATTTTTTCAATGAGAGAATGTCACACACTATATAATTAAGAAAGAAGGAGAGAGGGAGAAAGAAACAAAGAAGGGGATATTAAGTAACAAAACCATTAAATTTTGAAGCATAGGACAAATTTTCTCTAATTTTGATGTAAACATAGCATGATAACATAATAATATAATATAATAAGAATGCAATCCTATATGTTCCTTTCAACGTGTGTATTTGATTGTGATAATGAAGACCTGATCATTATAGGTGATTCCTTTATTCTCATTTTTGTACTGTTGGAGCCATGCAGGGAGGGTTGGACTTGAGGAGTCACTATTACAAGTACTGCTTTGCAAGCTTCGAACTTCGGTCTCATTCTTGGTAGAAGGTTCCGCGAAGCAAGGTTGTTGTTTGTGATCATCCCCCACTCCTTCGAGTAAGAGCCAGCTAGTTCTGTTGTCAGCTTTCTTGTTTGTGGGCTGGTGTTGTAGACCACTGTGGAAAAAGAGAGAAGATGATAATATGATAAGATTATCAACTATTCTGGCTTCATTTATTTCAGGTCATGTTCCACTTTCAAAGTTATTCAGAGAATAGTAACAAAAAAAATGGAAAAAGGGTCCAAAAGAGAAACTGATTGTCAAAATGTTAATTGAAGGGAAAAAATAAATAAAAATAAAGAAAAAGAAGAAAAACCTCTTTTTTCCTAGTTAGTTCTAATCAACGAAAGAAAGAAAGTAACATTACAAGGACTGACGTTTTGGTCGTTTCAGTGCATACACTTTTAACCAAATTTTTTTGGCAATTGTTTTTTTCTTCTCATATCCACTTGAGAAAAAAGTGAGAAAGAAGAAGAAAATTTGAAAAAGAAAAAGATAACAGTTTTTCCTTATTTTGTTTAGCATGTTATTCTTCCAACCCAACTTTTCTTTTCAAGTTTTAATCTTTAAAAAGCAAAAGACAATTCCATTTTTTCCCCTTTCCCGATGCCGTTTTCAGCTGATCAACCATTCATCCAAAACAGAAAAACAGTATGGGAAATGAGATAGCAAAGATTGAATCAAAGCCACACAACAACCAACTAACACCGTGTTGAAAATTTGTTGAGAAATAAGAAATCACATCTGAGACGTAAAATTTATGACTATTATCTTATGAGTAAATGTGAAAAATTAGTGAAACCAAATACACTCTAATTATATCCAACTTTACCAAAACTGATTTACCTGTCAGTGATGAGACTCAAGCGCAAGCTTCCTGCAGGAATAGTAATAGGATGGAGACCCCAAAGAGTTTCCAACGATGGATGGCCATTTTTGCATCTCATGTAAGCTTGAAAAGTTGCAACACCCATCACCCAAAACCTTCCACCATTCTCTTCAACTCCACTCACCATCTTCCCAATCTCCACCACCATGTGATCCACAGGACAGTAACACGCTCTCCCTTGCGATCCACGAGCCCTAAAATCAAACACCCATTTGAGATCCCCCAAATATAAAACATACCCTTTGCTATGTTCACTTGCCTTCACAAGACCCCTAAGCTCCTCCACCTTTTGCTCAACCTCCACTCTGGAAACACTTGCAAAAGAAGAAAGAGAAAGAGAGATGAACTTGACTCCCCTAAGACACTCACCAACATCCCCTTTGTCAACCTTTTCCATCACTCCTCTAACTACACCCTCAAGACTAGTAACACACTCTCCCACAATCACAACACTTTTCTTTCTCTCACTCCCCAAATTATCAATAACACTAGCAACATCCTCACCCCTAATGGCATCCAACACCAACCCTTTCTCTCCACCACTATTGTTTTCCTTTGCCTTAATATTACTACCATTATTCTGCGAACATATTTCCAAAGAAACCGCTTGTTCAACGTTGCTTTTCACCTGAGTGCTGGTGAATCCAGCCTCTCGCATGACCCTGCTAACACTAGGGTCATCCAAGATCGAAATAATGAGTTGCTCGAGCTCTATCTTCACTGCCAAGAGAGGTTGTTGCTGATTCTCGATGGATCCACGTCGTTGGTGCGCTTGAGCGCGTTTGAACGCAGCCACCAAAGCGTTTGAGATAGAGGGACACGAGTGAGAGTGGTGGTGGTGAGAGCCCTGCAACATGGGACTCGAAGAAGTTGAAGCTGGTAAGCGATTCAGCGCAACGTTGAAGCAAAGCTCCAAGGCCTTGCACTGAAGAGGGTGAGAGTGGGATTGGAGACACGCGGTTCTCAGAAGCCCGTTTGTGATAGAGAGCATGGTGTTTGCCACGTGGAGGGGTGTCACTTGCGCGTGGCCACGACGCTTCGCAAGTGTCACTGCTTGCTTCACTATGCTCGCAGCTTCTGGGGTTAGACCCTGTTGCACGGCGCAGCTTCCTGTTCTCATCTTAGGGGATGCAGAATTAGTACTCAACAAGGTTTTAAATTGCGATCGCGATGTTGTAATCTCGCCACGATCCTTGATGTCGTGAGAAATTGCAGACAAATACGACTGATGTAACTAGAGACTTCAAAAACCTAGACGTTGCGACTAAAACAATAGTGATAAACTATTTTTTAAAATGAGTTTGATCATGGCTTTGTTGTTGGCATCTAGGGTAGAAAGGTGGTATAGTGGTGGTGGTGGTGTTAATTTGAACCAAGGTGTTGGTTTGGAAGCTAGGTTTTGAGGGATATGTGTAGTTAGCTAATGTGATGATAATATAAATGGATGAGAGATTTGGTATGGTGTTCCATGAGACTTGGTTGTGTTTGTGCACTTGAGTGGGGAATATTGAGGAAGAAATGAGAGAGTGGTTTGATCTAAAAGACAAAGAGGGAGGGGATGAGAAAACGAGAAAGGGAGAGGACGAGGAAGAGGATGGTATGAAATTTATGGGAGGTGGGTGTGCTTTTCTTGTGGGTGAGGTAAATTTGGGGTCCAAAGTCGATTTTGTTGTAGAAAGTGGATTGCATGTGCTGACAAGCAGGACTAATGCACCAGTATCAAAGGCAACTCAGCTTTGCTCCCTCTCTCTCTCTCATGCACATACATACACCAAATTTTGTTGAGAAAAAAAAAAACAAAAAAAGCTAGGGTATTTGTAAGTGGGGCACTTTAATTTCTCTTTTGTGCATAATGTTAACTATACTAACAATATTTTCTTCTTTAGTAAGGGAGGAAAATTGAGCCACGGAAGGTACCAAGAAATTTTGAATCTTGAGTCTCCTAAGTATATATGCATGTAATTGTAAACTCCGTGGTGCATACGGTTTTTTATAATTACCATTATGAAAGATGACGCTCCTTCTAACCTTTTTTTTTTTTTTTTTTTTTCTTTTTTAGTGAGACGGAGAGAGAGAGAGAGGAAACATCTTTGTCATGAGAGTCTGCCAAAATCGAGGACCTGAAAAGAGAATGGGTCTATACTCTTATATGTGTGGGCGAAGGAATCGGGAACTGTGTACGATTTTCTTCCGAACCCAAAGACAAGGGAATAAAGTGTTGAGTCCCTTCTCTTCCTTATATTTTTATGGATTAAACAATCCAACACTAATCTAACTATTGACGCCTTTGAAAACGCATCATCCTGCATGGGGATCAAAACCAAAATTCCTTCGCGGCTGCTATTACTCCCATTGATTCTGTTTCTCAATGTCTCCATCTATTTCATACGAGTCATTCTATTACACTATCTTACACACCCATTTTAAGATTGTTGTTTATTATTGGTCAAACTTTATTAAAAAAATATATTAAATCATAAGTAAATTTCATTAAATAATAAATGATACCCACAATTTTTTAATAATTTCAATAAATTAAGAAATGATATTTGAAATGAATAAAATGTTAAAAATAAAAATTATAATTATATATTTAACATAAAAGCCGCGTAGTTTTAAAGAAATAAAAAATAACTTCAAATAAAAAAAATTCATTTAAGAATGAAGATTTAAAGAATTGTGTAATTCATCGATCGTATTGCTAAGGTGTACATATATGTAGGCTGTCCCAAATATATCATTAGACTCAAAGTAAATTTTGATATAAAGCCTTGTTAATTAATTCAGGAATATGAGTAGAATTTAGAAAGAATTGAGATGTTGAGAGATGATTTAGTTAATAAAATTAATGATTAATTAATTTTAATTTTTTTAGAATTGACTTTTTAAGAATACTTTATTTAATTAAAATTAATGACTATTAATTTTTAAGTGCGTGAAAGTAAAAAAAATAAAACAAACTAAAGAATAAAGGTCTTACAGTAAATGAAAATACCAATATTTAAAAAACAAATTTTTGGTGGCCTAAAGTAAGAATATTTGTCCATCCTCGTGCGTTGGCTGGTCTGAGTATATGTCTATATTGATTGTTTATTTATTTAATTTTGTTAAATAAATGTTATGATAATAAAAGTAATCATAATATTGAATATTTCTTATTCATTATTAGTAAGGAGATTTTTCTGTAAGTTATAGGATGTAAAAAAATTGTTTCGTTGATGTAATAAAAAAGAACTGGCTAATATTACTTGGTTCAACTAACTGGGTTGGTTACTAATAAGTCATAACCAAAGTCCCAGAGAAAAACTGGGAAAAAAAAAATTAGAAATTTTCTGCACGTGCGGCCGAGTGTTCACATCTCCTAGATCCCAAACTTAAGATAATGATTTTTCCTGATGCGATTGACTTCATTTTCCTGCTAAAAAAAAAA